GACGGCCCTTTTTCAAGGCATAGGCCAATCTCTTCAATTGCCAATTCTTAAGTTCTACCCGTATTTCATCATCATCATCATCATCATCATCATCATCATCATCATCATCAACTGCAAATTCTTCATTGTCTTCATCAACTCCGTGTTCATTATCCTCGTCATCAATTTCTTCATCTTCATCTTCATTCCCAGTTTCTCCACGGAGCGCAAAGTCTGGTGCCCCCAACAACTCATCATCTTCCTGCAGGGCCTCTGCTAGTTCTTGCTCGAGCTTCGCAAGGTCCTCCTCGCTTATGTCATCATCTTCACCATCAGTACCATTCAATTCATCATTTTTCAGATCTTCTTCAAGCTTTTGAAAAAGGGCCTCGAAAGCATCTTCATCTATGTCTTCCTCGTCCCTGCCTGCCTTTTTGGGAGTGCGCTTTTTCTGGACAGAAGACAATGCAGCAGAAAAGGGATTCCTTTTACAGGAGGCCAAATAGATTTCCTTTGTTCATTACACTTTTTTCTTTCTAAAAACTGAATAACAATTCTACTCTCAATGGATACATAAGAAAATGCAAACAAGAAAAAGGTAAAGGATTCCAGGGGAAAACCTGTTGCAATATTTTCACACACACACACACACATACACAAAACTAAACCTGAATCTGCAAAACTATTCCAGTTCAAAGTCTGAAATTTCGAAGATGACTCCCAGCAATAGAAGCAGATAAACTTTGTGACACAAAAAGTTGTCATTTTTTTCCTCCTTATCTATGTACAGTACAGCTCATGGAACATCAAATAAATAAATGAACACAAACAATCAGCTGCCGCTGAAACTGTAGAAATGAGTAGATATATGTGGGTACCTTTTTCTTGGAAGTGGCAGAAGGGGTACGGCGGCGGTTAGAGAAGGTGAGACCGTGGAGCCGAGGCGGCGGGCGACGTGGCAGGAAGGCATTGGAGAAAGGGTTTCTCGAAATGGAGGCTTCTCTGATAGCACGAGGTCGCTGGAGAGTAATGGAAATCTGAACAAGGGTTGTTGTTGACGCCATTTTCCTTTGTATGTCTGTGTATTTCCCAATATCTCACTCATTTAAATACCTTATTGTTATTTGTCAGAAATCTATCTACTACATAATTAGACAACTTTGGGAAAGTTAATTGTATCGTCACGTTTTACAAGCTTATTATTATTTTATTTGGAAGTTACGTTTTAAATTTTTCTTTTTGTTTAGAAAAAAGAGTTTCCGTATGTATTTTTGTTGTTGTTGACTACCATAAATAAATAAATATTCATATGCAAAATGGAATGATGTATAATTTTCGGTTGTTCCACGACATAGTAAGAGTAAATTCACCTTATAGTTAAATAAAATTATCCACTTATTAATCATTTTGTCATTTTGTTTTTGGTGATATTTTTGCAGCTCTTCCAACATATTTTTAATCAATTTCAAAATAGATTATTTTGTAAGTTTGAATTAATTCAAAGCAAATTGATCCAACATTCTTTTTGGTCAGTCAAATTTGAATGAATTTAATGGAGATATAAAAATAATTGTTTATTTCATTCAATTTTTTTTACTAGGGCTACGATAGTTTGTTTGAGTGGACAACGATAATATAATCAGTTATTTGTAATGGATGAGTAACCGTTATGTAGTGGTTCCATATTTACTTAATTAAATAAATTTATTTACAAGTAATTTAACTGTATAGTGGGTGAGAATTTTAATATTTTATCGCAAGTTTTATAATTTTGTAAGCACATTAGTGAAATTGCAGATCCACACATAGAATTACTATAATCACGTAGTTAATGTTCTTTTTTATATATATAAAAAAAAAAAAAAAAAAAAAAATCCGTAAAGGTTGTCAAACACCCTTAATACTACGAGGAGAAATTCAAGATATTTGTTTCATGGTTTGCTTTAAATTTCTTAAAAATGTATGATTGCATTATAAGCAGTTTCAATTTCAACATATTAATTTTTACTTGTATAAATTTTTTGTTTATTGAAATTACAAAAGACTATAATTTTCCGAGTTGTATTAACTGGTTTAGATCTGGACAGTTGATGAAAATTAAAAAAATAAATTTTCTGTAGTAATCATTTATCAAGGAAATTTTTTGCAAAACAAAAATTCATTAGTCGGGCATATATCTTTAAGATATGATTAATATTTTTGGACAAAATATAAAGTCATCATATGTGAGGATGTATAATTTCTGATTAACCTTTTACTTAGATTCTTATTCCAAGTGAATTAAATATTGATTGACATAAATTTCATAAATTTCTCTGACGATTTTACTATGAAAAAATAAAAATAAAAATTAAATATATTAATGTATATGATTTTTCAATAATATACGATGGTTATTTGTTATCATACAACACAACCTTCTTTTTTACTTATTAATTGTATAATTCATATAAGTATTCCCGTGCAAATGCGCGGGCAACAACACTAGTAAATGTAGATAGGAGTGTACATAATACTCACATGGAGTGAGGTCCACTTGATTTTTTTAT